CTCCAGCGCCGCCGCGCCCGCTCCGGGCGACCTTCCCGGGCCGCGAAGGGAAAGCGACCGCGCAGAGGGGCGAACACGCCCGCCCACGCACAGAGGGGCCGGGGGGAGGCCCGAGCCCGCGGGTCGGAGGAGGGAAGGAGGGGGAGGAGGAGGAGGAGGAGGAGGAGGAGGGGGAGGAGGAGGAGGGAGGGGAGGAGGAGAGGAGGAGGAGAGGAGGAGGAGGAGAGGAGGAGAGGAGGAGGAGAGAGGGAGGAGGAGGGAGGAGGAGGAGGAGGAGGAGGAGGAGGGAGGAGGAGAGGACGAGGAGGAGGAGGAGAGGAGGAGGAGGGAGGAGGAGGAGGAGGAGGGGGAGGAGGAGGAGGAGGCACAGGAGGTCTATGCGCTCCGACCGTGCAGCTTGAGCCCGGGGCGACCCAGACGTCCGGCGTCACGGAAAAAAATCGCACGTTGGCGGTGCGGAGAAGGGGGGGGGTAAGAGGGGGAGGGGGAGAGGGCTTCTTCCGGGAACGGCTGCTTCTGAGCAGGGATGGGCCCTGCCTCTGCAGACAAGGCCCGCGCCCTCCAAGAAGCAGGGGTGCTCCTGATATCGTGGACGCCATGACAATGGACACCCTAACAATCTGATCATTGAATTAAAAATGTGTTTAAACTGTTTGAAACATGCTCTAATATGTTACAAACATGTTACAAACATGTTGAATACATGTTTAAGACATGTTTAAGACATGCTTAAGACATGTCTTAGGCATGTTAAAATCATGCTTCCTCTCCCTTGGTCGTCGTCCACAATTCTAAGAAGCCTTCCCGCTCTGCGCGTGGCCGCGAAAGTGATGCTTTTCATCCGTTTCCCGGCCTCTCGGGGCCCTCGCCGCGCCTCGGGACCGTCGACAACTGGCTCAGTAGTGAAAAGGGCTGGTCCTGGAGAATGGGTCGAACCCTTCCAGGGACCACGATTTCCCTCTTCCAACCCCCCTTCTTCCTCTTCGGGGAGGGGTCTTATCACTTCCCTATGAATCGGATACTGGGGGGTTGGAACGGAAGTGACCCCAACCGGGAAATCGGTTTCGGTTTCGGTTCGTGTCGCGCGTGCGGGCGAGGCGAAGCTGCGCGAGTTCCGTCCTTAGTAGAGGCCGTATATTGCCAAAAGGGCCGCCCTCCGAGCGCCGGGCGTGGCCCCCGGCCCCCGGTTGTCCCGGCGGTTGTCCCGGCGGTTGTCCCGGCGGTTGTCCCGATGGTTGTCCCGATGGTTGTCCCGATGGTTGTCACGATGGTTGTCCCGACGGTTGTCCCGATGGTTGTCGCGATGGCTGATAGATAGAAACATAGATAGATAGATAGATAGATAGATAGATAGATAGATAGATAGGTAGGTAGGTAGATAGATAGATAGATAGGTATGTATGTATATATTCACATAAAGAGATAGACATAAATACAGATGGAGAGAGCTACATAGATAGAGATATATATATATATATGGACAGTTATATAGCTAGAGGGGCAGGGAGATAGATAGAGAGGTAGGGAGATAGAAAGAGATGGATACATATATACAATATTAAATATAGAGAGATGGAGATAGATATATATATATATATGGAGAGAGAGAGATGTATATATATATATAGAGAGAGAGATCGATTGCTTGATTGACTGGAGTGGATTGATTGGTAGATAAAGAGATAGATACATGGCTGTTTCAAATAAACAATTAGATATATAGGTCGATAGATAGATGGGCAGATGTGCGCGACCATTGGAAAGTTGAAGAAACCACCCAAGAATCCAGAGCCATCGCAAATCGACCGCAATCTGCCTCCAAACCGCACTCTGGCTCCAAATTCAGAGCATGCACAACGAACCCGATGCGGGCCCCCCCACCATCTCTGTCAAAACACCATGTGAGATACACTTTGGGGCAAAGTCTTGAGTCATGCTTGTGGGGCCCGCGAACACTTTGCACGGTTCTTTGACAGGGACGGCGGGGGTGTCAGTATATTGCCTGCTGTGCGCAGGGCCACCGCTTCTGTCAAAAACAATATCAGATGCACATCGCGGCTAAATCTGGATCATGCGCGGCCACCCCGCGATGACTATCAACCGGTTTTTGGCAGGGACGGTGGGGGGGGTGGCGTATGGCCTGCTGTGCGCAGGCCCACCAGACACAATGATGGGCGCTGGTTTTCGACAAGGATGGTGGGGGCCGACATGCTTTCCGATCTTTACTGTCACGTGCGCAGGCGCACCTGACACACTCTGCACGTACCCCGAACGTGGCGCACCTGGCCCGACTGGAGTATGCAGCACACCTGGCGCACGTGGAGCACGTGGCGCATCTAGCGCACAAGGCGTGCCTGGCACGCTCGGGCCCCAGGGGTGCCTGGCGCGCGTGGCGCGCCTGGCACACGTGGCGCACCTCGCCCCAGCGTCGCGCGCCTGGGGTCGCTTTGGGTTCCCAGCAGCTGCCCATCCAAAGACGACCGCTGAACATGCTGAGGCTCGGGTGTTGTCGTGTGTTGGGAGGGCGGGTGAGAGTGAGCTAGACGGCTTGCTATCTAGGAGGGTGTCTTGATCACTGTTCTCTTTAGATTAACACCCCCTTCCCCACCCGGCCGGCAGCCAACCCAGAACCATGCGCACACCATGAGGGCCCCCTCCCACCACCCCTATCAAAAAAACAATGGAAAATGCACATTGCGGGGCCCACCCTGCCAACACCCTCCACAACCCCTCTCAAAAAACTATACGAAGTGCATATTGCAGCAAAATCTGGACAGTGCGCTGGCGCCCTGTGAGCACGTTGTATGGTTTTTTGACAAGGAGCCATCTCACATTTCTGAAAAACTACGCGCCTCGCAGCATGGAGACAAACCGTGCAGCATGCAGTTTCTGCAATGCGAGCGGGAATGGTGCAACCTTGTATTTGCGGGTGCATGCCGCTCTGTCCTCACAGCTTGTGTAGCAAAGCTACGCGCCTACTCGTTACAGCAAATTGCGATGATGAGAAAGGAGCGGGGGAGCAAAGCCGCGAGAAGAAGCGAAGAACAGAAGCAGGGGCTACAGGCTGGCCCAAACCAAGGCACCAAATGGGGGGCCACTGGAAAATGCATTCAAAGAGTTGAATGCCTTCACTCGCGGTGACACGTACAAGAAACGCTCACACCCGAGCGGTTTGCACCTCGGTGCTGGTATTAGATTCGCAAGGCGAATCGGGAGAACATGTGATGTCATGAGCGCGCGAACTCGATCATCCTCAGTCCTCATCCACCACCCTCGCCCACTTCCCACATTCCACGTCCTTCCCATCCTCCTCCACGTCTCTTCCGCATCCAACTGAAATATCACGCGGAGGCCAGACATCCGAGCTCTGTGTAGTGGGAATGGCAGGAGCTGCGTAACCAGGGATGCTCAATCTGGAATGTTGCAGCGCACCGTGCGCCAGACACCACGGATGGGTTGCACTGCAGCCAGTAAGCTGCCTCAGGCTGCTACGCAGTGCACCAGGCACGCGGCAAGCACGCCCGCTGCACCGAATTGCTATCGAATTGGTTTTCATCGCGTGCCAAGGCCGAGGCTGGAGGCGAAGCCGCCACCAGACGCAGGAAAACTCCTTGACAAGCTGCAAACCAAGGCCAGGCTTCTCAAACTGCCAAGGCCAGGGTTCTCAAGCTGCAAGCACCGTGCCAATAAAAAGCTTGCTTGAGTCTACAGAGGCCGAAGACAAGCAGCCTCCAGGCCAGCCGCGCCGTGCGTGCCCAGCCTCCCTGCGACGGCGCGGGCCCCGGCCGCGCGGAGGCCCGCCCGCGATCGTCGAGCGCGCGAGCCCTCCCTGGGCCTCGGGGAGGCGCAGGCAGCGCGAGCGGGGAGGCAAACCGCGCCCCCGCCGGCGCACCGCCCGGGCGGCTCCCAGTCACTGGGCGACGGTCCCGGGGGGCAGCAGCGCCTGCTGCATCAAGAGCAGGGTGTCTAGTTTGCTCTTCAGGTGGGCGACCTCCCTGTCGAGCTTCTGCATGCTGTTCTCCAAGTTCTTTGCGTACTGGGGCGTCGGGTCCCCGCGCTTGGCGGCGGGCTCGGCCTCTGCGCCCCCGGGGCTCGTGTCTAGTTTGCTCTTCAGGTGGGCGACCTCCCTGTCGAGCTTCTGCATGCTGTTCTCCAAGTTCTTTGCGTACTGGGGCGTCGGGTCCCCGCGCTTGGCGGCGGGCTCGGCCTCTGCGCCCCCGGGGCTCGCAGCCTCGCCCGCGTCGCTCGCGGGCGGCGGGTCCGACGAGCTCATCCCGTCGAGGAGGACCGCCACCACGACGTTCAGGATGACGAACGAGTTGATCAGGATGAACGACACGAAGAACACGGACACCCCGAACGTGGACATGAACCCCCGGTTGTCCTCGGCATTCCGGGTGGCAGCGTCCTTGACCTGGAAGTAGTGGAGGATGGGGCGAACGCCCGCCTCCGACCACGACTCGCCCGTGAGGATCTGGAAGAGGGTGTACAGCGCCGCGGAGAAGCACCCGTAGTACTCCGCCCCGTAGCACTCCCGGCGGCCCGTCAGCGCTCCCGGGGGCGGGTTCGGCAGTGCGCAGGCCTCCCGGTACAGACCTCCGAAGGCGTCCACGGCGAGGACGGAATAGATGGACATCACGATCAGTAGCAGGATGAAGGCGTTGATCACTCCTGGCACCGCCTTCGAGATCGTATCTAAGATTTTCTTCAAAGACTCGACCCGGCCGAACAGGCGGAACACCCTGAACGCGCGGAAAAGGCGGAGCGTCTTCAGCTGGGGCGGGTACGAGAAGTCGAACATCAACGATAGGAGATCTATGACACCCATCGAGACGACGAACAAATCGAAAAGGTTCCAGCCCTGCGAGAGGCATGGCCACATCCAGCTCCCGTACATATTGATCAGGAGCTCTATCAGGAAGACCACGTTGAAAATCGCATCGATGGTCACCCACGTAGTCTTGTTGGACATGTCGTCTGAGTGGGTATACGCCGGGTCCACCTGCCGTTGTATGACCTGGCAGATGAAGT